CTCTGGAAGAGGTGAATATTGCTTCTTAATAACATTTCATTCATGCTTACTTTCAAAAAGTCATAACTTACGGACTATCATTATGTATTACAAGGTGTTCAACACTTCTTTGTGGATGTTTTTAAAAGCATGAAAGGTACTCATTATGTCCCGGCATTGTATGAAAGTCTTTAACATGCTACTTTGTGTACTTGTGAAAATGTTGCAGGGAAGTTTCTCTGCAGATTTATCAAGGATTCCAGGAAATGATCAGAGCATCCTTGCGAACAATTTGAAGCAGCCTCCAAGGATGAATGGTGTTAACTCACCATATCACTTCCTTGGAGTGAAAGGTTTGACATTTGCCTTCCATTTGGAAGACATGAATCTCTTTTCAGTTAACCTACACCTTGGGGGCATTAAAAATATTTGGTGAGTATTCATCATCAACAGTTTTAATAAACACCATTCATCCCTTCATCATTATTCATCCCAATTTATCCTGTGTCAAGTCATTAACTTTATTATATTGCAGGGAGTGTGTACCACTTATACTTGTAATTTTTGAGTTTCTTGCCATTTTTGAGACAACATCCGTAAGTGTTTCTTGCAACCTCTTGCGACCGAGAGATGAGAACATCAAAAGTCACTCGGCCAAGAGACTTGCATGGTATGAGTCTCTTGGTGAGTCTCTCCTCCGACATACTCAAACCGTAAAAGTCTCTCAACCGACAGCGGGCTGATGCACTTTCAAGTATCATTTGGACTGGTCATACGCATTTAAATATTTAAAGCTTACCTCTCACCTACACATTATTAGAATTAATAAATTACGTTGCTTCTGAGTTAATAATAGTGTAATAATGGAATAATTTTATGAGTTACTGTTTCATGTGTTTCAGGCACAGCCTTATTGCTGAACATGTGGCACACTTTGAGAAGCACTTGAAGGTGCAACTTGGCGAGGGATGCTGTGAAGAGATTGGTTGTCATAAGCACTTCCTCATGAATGAGGAGTGGTTCAGGTCCGATGAACTTGGCGTCAGTGTGGCTGTCCAAGAAGCTTGGGATATCATAATCACATTTCCAAAAGGGTGGCACGGGGGATTCAACGTTGGTTTCAATATGAATGTTGCAATCAACTGTGCCATTCCCTTATGGGTGGACTATGGTATCCGAGCAAACTTCTGCACATGCGAGTAAGTGTTGAGAAGTGCACATGTGCTTCAGTAATGAAATGGTTAACAATTGTACATGTTATTACAGTGATAACCTGAATGTGAAGTTCACCATGGAACCATTTGTGAGAAGATGTCTCACTCACAAGTACAAGGAATGGCTGAATGGAGAACTCAACTGCTTTGGGAAGAAAGGAAGGACATGCTTGTCCTGCGCATTAAGCAATGCACAAACATTAGGCTAATGCACAAACATTGACAGAGCTTCTGCAGACCAAAATGTAAGTGTGAATAAGTGTTACTAACAATTTGAACATTTGATTTCACATGGAATTGTTTGAAATTTGCAGACCCCAAGATAATGCTGAAATGCTGCATGCTACCAACAGAAACAAGATGGAAATGAAATGTTTCAAGTTCTTCAAGAGAGGAATTCAAAAAATGGAGTATCTACTCAAGAAATTCATGCGTGAAGGGATTCAAACCCATGAGATCAGAAACACTAGCCAACCTCCTAACCTACTGAACTGGTCACCTTTTTGGGAGGTGAAGTGACAATCAATGAAAAGCACACGCTGCATTTTTGACCAGAATGCGCAACTTTTCTGGACGCGCAAGCTGCTTCTTTTTGCAGTGTGCGCTACATGTAAGGATGCACACACGCTGCTTTATTTTGCAGGGAGCGCTACATTTAAGGACTCACACGCTGCTTTATTTCACAGTGTGCGCTACATTTAAGGAAGCGCACGCTGCTTTATTTTGCAGGGAGCGCTACATTCAAGGACGCGCACACTGCTTCATTTTACAGTGTGCGCTACATTCAAGGACGTGCACGCTGCTTTATTTTGCAGGGAGCGCTACTTCTTTCACGGCACGCCATATAAAACCTGAAACACGCGCTGGTGGGTTATGGCAGAAAATAAAAGGCACACTGATGCTATGTGCATTGGTGCGCTCTTTATTTTTCACCCGTTTTTCAAAAAACGGGTGATTCACCTGTATATGACGGCTGAATCTCCCTTTGCGGTAACTAAGCAGGCCTTTGAGGAAAACGGGTGCTCAGCAGAACCACCCGTATGCCAAAACGGGTGGTTCTGCGGGTGATCACCCATTTTTTTTTTCAACCCAGTACCCGTTTCCCAAAACGGGTGGCTGCTACCCGCATATGACGGGTGGAAATCCTTGTAAATTATTTGCTGGGTACACATTGATATAATGTGTATTCATTATTTTGAATCTCTCCATTGCTGTAATGTCTATTGCAACAAGAAATTGTTATAAAATGATTGTTAAGTTTGTATTATTTGCAATATGGTGCATGAATGCATCAATTGTGCATCAATAATAGTAATGTGTTATGTGCTGTTTCCAAGCATGATACAGTATTTGGAATGAGGAGCTCTGTGATGTTTGATCCGCACTGCGCCACCGCACAGCGCTGCGGATTCAACATGGATGCCTCCCTCATCCAAGTTCTTGCAGTAGCAAGGGAAAACCGTTGAAGATGTGCGCGCACAGGTTTGCGCATGTCTTCATGATATTTCAGGGAAATTTGTTTCAGTGAATTTCAAAATGAATGTGGAACTTGTTCATTTTAGTGTTTGGACAAGTGAAAAACCCAGTAAGTGTGTGTCTGTTGAATCGAACAACAGAGTGAAACGGTAGAGTATATTGGTAGGAACAACACTTGTATTTCAGTTTTCTCGGTGGAAGTGGTATGGTATGGAGTAGAACTGATGAAGGTTTTCACATAAGACACACAGGCACAAGTAAAAGATGATGTTTCTGCTGTGACAGAACATTGTGCTGACAGTGTTGAGTCAGTGCTGCAACATTTATACTACTGCTAAGGTATGCACTTTCCAAGTGCATACCTTAGCAGTATCATATTGTTGTAATCGGAGTGACATTTTTTTCTTACTATCATCTTGTAATTGATGGCATTATTTGCTTCAGTGCATACATTAGCAGTATCATTGCTGTAATGGGAGTGAGATTTTTTGTGGAGCAAGGAAGAAGATAAACATACACATACACTCATGTTCATAAAAAAGCACCCAAATGAGATTCTAAGTTGTCTGTATGTTAGAAACATTATTCATTACTAATACATGGATACAACATTGTTACTGCTAATGTATGTACTGTTAAAGTGCATACCTTAGCAGTAGCATCAATGTTGCAGCACTGACTTAACACTGTCAGCACAATGTTCTGTCCCAATGTTCTGATTTAACAACAAATACTAAGGTAACACTGCTACCAATGTTATACCAATGTTATGCAAAAAAAACACTGATGTTAGCTATTCCAGGAACATGTAAGGGAAAATAGTGTGTTGAAGTATTCATCCTTCATAGCTGTGTTGAAATGAAATAATTAGGCTAATTAGGTGAAGAAATAATTTTTTCTTAATTTCATATTGTAATTGATGGAATTATTTTTTCACCTAATTCACCTAATTATTTGATTTCAACACAGCTATGAATACTTCAACACACTATTTTCCATTACATGTTCCTGGAATAGTCAACGCCAGTGTTTTTTTGCATAACATTGGTAGCAGTGTTACCTTAGTATTTGTTGTCCCACATGTTTGGTTCCTTCTTTTCATAAATTAACCTACGATACAGGGGGTTTCTTATAATCTCCACAATTATACATTTTTTCCCAACATGAGTGTATGTATGTTCTCTTGTTTCACAGGGTTTGACATTGAATGTTTTTTCTCCAACATGTTCTTTTCCAGGAATTCTTATAGAACAGATTGAAGAGATATGTTTGTTATAATCACCTAACTTTCTAATTAATTTATTACCAACATGAGTATGTATGTATGTATGTTCTCTTGTTTCACAGGGACTGACATTGAATGTTTTTTATGCAACAAGTTCTTTTCCAGGAATTTTTTTTAGAAGAGATGTGTTTGTTATAATCTTCTCACCGTAATTAACTTATTTCAAACATGAGTGAATGTTTGCAGTACATTCTCTTGTTACCTTGAACTAAAATTAACTTTCTGTCCTCAGGTTGACAAGGACATGCTGTACTCTGCAGTCTGGATATACAAGGATGGATTGATTTGTGAAGAAGTGAATAATGAATATGTGTTCCATGAATATACACTTGTATGCACTTAAAAATAACATGTATTTCATACTTTCTTGTGTTTTTCCTGGCATGTTTTTAGTGTTTGTGTTTACATATGTTTTATTCTTTCATTCACAGAGAAAAGGATGAATTCTTACAAAGTGAAACTGTGTCCTGTTTTTGATCTTTCCCTGCGCAACTTCAATGTTTTTGATCAGTTTATCAAAGACATATACTCAAAGAGAGGTGGTTGGCAGGCAGGGATGGTAAAATTAAGGTGCACATCGGAATTAATTTGCACCTTAGACCCAAAGGGAAAAGGCACTTGGTGTACAAAGGATGACACCATCTGGTCTTCCTTGGCATCTGCAGTTGTTCAAACAGTTCTTCATCAATCAGTGAAAAAAGTTGATGAAAGAGGAGGATTCAAAATCCACAATGATTTGGAGGTGAATAAGGGCAGGGACGACATGTCTGCCTTGGAGTATTTCAAGAAGTTAAATGCATGTGGGCAAATGCACCCTCTTGAGAAGATGGCATCCAAGTGGATTGTGACCCTCCCTCCTTACCATCATTTAACCCAGATGACACCTTACCACAATTACTTGGAAGTGACTGTGGCCTTAAAAAAGACAGCACCTCTGGAATAAATTGAGGAAGCTCAAAGTCAGTGAAAAGACACAACCAGTTCTTTATGTAACTAAGTTGCATGTTGATCCTGATGAGAAGCTGGCCTCACATGAGCTTTGTTGTATGAAGGCTCAAGACTTGGAGAAAGATGATGTTCAGGTGAATGAAACTTTCAGGTAATTAATCTATATGTATGCACAAAAGCATTTGTCAACAATTTTCAACATGTGTTGATGTATTCAAACATCAATCCCTGTTTGAAATTGTTAACAAATGTTTACATTGTATCCTTATATATACTTTTATTACTGCATAATTCTGATTAATCATAATTGTGCAGTATTGTTCCATGAATATTGACCACATTTTATTGAATTTAACTTTCTCATTACTGTGTACAATGTTTCAGAAAGGCACAAGTAAGACCTGTCTTCCCTGGTTGGAAATGCCCTGGGAATGATGAATACATTGTTCAAAACCAGGATGTTCATGCCCGGAGTCAACCGGCCGCTTTTTTTTCTTGGTTCACAAGACAGTGTATTTCCGGTACACTGTGAAGACACGGACCTCATGTCTGAATCTTCATCTAGCTGGATATGAGAAATTATGGCAAGTGTTATATCTTATTTCTCTTGCTCAATGTATAATAATGTCAAGTCCATCAACTAATAATTTTTCAAACAAATGTATTGTAGGTACTCAATCCAAGCCAAGGATGTGCCAAAGTTTGAGAATGTCCTCAAGCTCAAGCGTCCTTGCATATGGCCACAACAAGAATGCCAAGTAATCCTAGGAAACTGGCGCAGAGTACTGAAGGTACTGAATATTATCAAACTAATGCTATGTCATGTTCAACATTTTTAATATTCTTTTTTTGTTGTGTTCCAGGAAAAGAGAAAAGGAAGCATACTTGTCATACGCCAACATTTCCTCCAGATCTTGGCAAACCAAGTACAAGTGGGATTCAGAAAATGGATTCCTGTACTCAGGAGAAACACCATCCAACTTCTGAAGGTATGCACCTCACCAGCTATATGAAGTGATTGTAATTCTTGTTTTAACAATGCTGCTATCCTGCAAAATACTTGACATTAGGTTTTGAGTTTCTTCTCTCTTATTTATTTCTTTTCCAAGCTTAGATGAACGTGGGAAGAAAACTTTCCCATGAATATATTTTCTCCTTGTTTTGGTTTGACGACTTTTGCACTTGCCTGACTCAGATGTGCATGACCCATTTTGCCTTCAGGCTCACATTTAATGTTCCTTTCCTGCTGACAGTTATTAACGGTAATTGCTGTTCCACCAAAATTTGGTTTCTCCTATTTGGATAATATTTCTGTGCTAGTTCTTGAGATACACATCCTGGTTCCGAAACCTGGATATGCATCCCAGAATCCTGGAAATATGTCATCAGCCCAATAGTCTAGAAGCTATATATATTTGTGTCACTCCTTGAATTCGTCAGAAGAATCCCACTAGAGAATCGGACCTGACTCTCGCGATTATTCTCAGGAAGACTTGCAATAATTTAGCAAGACTTCTTCAACTCTAATATTGTCTTGACTCTGCTTGTGTGACTGTGTGTATTGAATATATGAGTGTGATTCTGTATACCAAAGAAATAGAAATATATTGTGCATCTATATTTTTTAATCAAGTATCTTATTTATTGACGCGACCAACAAGAATATTTTTATCAAGCGAGTTAAGATAACAATGCGAGTATTACACAAACCATTCATTTTTTTACAGTTCAAAAGGAACAAGGAAAGAAAAGAAGAGTCCCCAACACCCACGTGCGTCAAAGCCATTCTCCAAGTGAAGATAAAGAAGGTGCAATAAGTAATTCCTAAAGAAGCTCACGCCCAGGACGCCAAATTAGAAGAAAAAAAACTGAAGAAGATAAATGCTTTTGGTTTACACGTATAGTGTACGTATTAGTATTGTAAAATATTATTTACTGTTACATGCAAAATGTGTGTACTTTTCTAAAATATTACTTTCATTCTCATAACAATGTATGTACACTACCTCCCTTATGTGGGTGTTTATACATAATGCATTTATACATACATTAATAACAATCAGTTCATGTATGAACACATCTTATACCATGTACTTCCCTACATTCATTCAATGATCTTCACTCTTGTCATCCATTCCAGACTGTAGCACTGACCAAACTTGTGAAGAACAAGAAGTACCAGCTCAAAAGTGCAACAGATGCCATCAACACTCAAGTCTGATTGACTTTACAAGGAATGAACAACGGCATGATGCAGGAATACTTAATCTGAGCTTGGATGTGCTGAGGATCTCTTCACAAGGTGGATCACCATGCACTCATTGTGCATCAATTGTGTCTTTGTTGACATTCATAACAAAAAGTCAAAACTTGGACCCACAATTACTGGAGGTTGCAGGAAAGGTGGAAGCAATAACTCACAGAATGGTAATACATTCCTAGTTTTTATGATACAAAATATTTAGAAATTTACATTTATAATTTTTATGCAGGTTAAGGATACAGTTGCAGCAGGGAAACTGAAATCATCAAAACCAATGGCACTTGGATCAAATTCCAAACTTCCTGATAATGAAAGGCCTCCTCTGCATAAAGCATTCAAAGAAGTGGTAATATATGAGGAACATAAACATGTAGTGAACATTGTAGCAAATTTTATCCTTATATTATGTTCTATTAGGCTGTACAGAGAACTGTTCTCAGTAAAAGACACCTCTGTGCACCAACTGGAAAATTGGATGCCATTGGTAGATTGGTTTTCAAGTTTGTCCTGAAAGATGAAAAAGGCGAGGCATACCCTATTACATGTGTATTGTATATATTCATTGAGGCAATTCTAACTAATTTGTGTTATGTTTAAATTTTCATGCAAACCAGTAAGGAAACCTCCATAGTGGACATTGGACAATACACATGAAGCAGTGGTGGAATTCACAAATTTCATGTTGTGGGTGTACAAGCTGAATTGCAGCATGTATGAACTGACTGCTGGTAAGCCACCATAATATAATGGTTCATATTGTAATCATACTCCTTATGGTTTTAAATTATTCAATCGTCTTCATTATCCCATTAAACGCCTCATACTTTTGTCCTGTACAGGTCCTTCTAATGACTGGAGCACCACAGTCTGTAACTTCTTGTACAATGAGGGTTTCACAAGATCTTTGGCAAAAAGGTTGGTACCAAACACGTACCCATCCTGGAAGGTGGCATCACCTCTGGTTCCTGGTGTTCTTTTTGAAGAGCAAGTTGTGTTTCCCCATACTTTGAAGAATGGATGGCTATCTCTGGATAAACTTCCCAGTGAAAAGAAGGTGAAGATAAACTTGAGCAAGGTGTGATACACAGTATTATATATGTCTATGTATGTTTTGATTCATCAGTTACGTACATTAATGTTGCACAAACGTTGCTTGATGATTGCGTGATCATTGAACAAACGTCACGTGATGGTTGCGCAAATATTGCTCAAACATTGCTCATTAATTGCGCATTCATTGCACAAACGTTGCTCGATGATTGCGCAACGATTGAATGAACATGAATTTATTCTCACCTATATTATTATACCACACATACTTCATATACTTACAGGATAAACCAATGAACGTCAAATGTGTTCTTCTTGGTTCAATGGAGGCCATGTGTGGGAAAACCTGTGGCCTGTTCATGCAAATTGATGACCTTCAGGACTTGATGAGCAGGATAAGGATATACTGCCAGACAATGTTGTCTAGAGTGCATGTGATTAAAGGATCCAAGAAGAAGAACTGGAAGGTATAAATGCCAAAATTTTAATTAATTTCATATATTACTGTGTGTTCATCTCTGCTTTTGTGCATGTTTTTATATAGGTTCCTGATGGCCGGGGAATCTTTTATAATGCTCTTGTGCAGGCCATTTTTCCTGCTGACTCTTCAGCAGCGCTGAACACTACTCCCATGGTAGCATCAACCCGTGGATCAGAAGCAAATGAATTCATCTCATTTTGCAGAGACATTACGTTTCTACCGCTCAACTCAAAGAATGAGGACAATAATTGGCGTGATAGTGAGTAGGAAAAATTACTTTTGGAGTTTTTATGCAACGTTCAATTCACACTATTCTATTATCATTTTTAGCTCAAGCTTTCTTTCCCAAACTTATGAAAAGCTTGATGAAGGATGAAGCAGCACAATTCTTGGAGACAAATGAAGAACACTCATCCATGTCTCTGGAAGAAGTAATTGACATTGCCACAGAGGACGAAAAGTGCTTTGATGCTGATGGAAAGCAAGTCTTGTCTGATTTCAAGAAATGGGTGGGGCAAACTTCATAATATTATTGTACTGCTTATACTTGCAACTTTTCTATCAATTTCAGTAATTCCAGTTAGGAAAATGAAGAATACAAGTATAGAACAAGTAACACATTTAATTACATTTCAAAAATTGACTTATTTCTCAAATGCATGTTATAAACTTGTTTCGGTATGATTTGACAGGTGTTGAAGTCCACAAGAAAATGGTTGTTGGACGATACATGGAGAACTGTGGCTTGTTGGATGACAAATTCACAAAGTTTGACGCCTGGCACAAGGATGTGTACAAGCAACGTGCAAATAAATGGGGAAATATGTTTGATGCCCGTGCTTGCTTTGAAAAGGTTGCCAGTACAAAGACAGTTGAAGATGTTGTTAGTGATTCCAATTAATTTTTTTCTTTTTTCACTGCGCACCACATGTGTTGTTTGGATTGCCTTTTTGTTTTTATCATGAATTTGGTGGTTGGATGTTTTCTGTTACCCGCCTTCCATTGCAATACTTTGTTGTGCCTTTTTTTTTAAAGCCAAGAATGCATTCAATTATCATTTACAAACTGTCATGTTGGGAATTAATTCAAAAACGCAATGTTGTGCTGATTTAATTTGTTTGTAGCAAATGCGTGTATTGAATTGGTTTAGATGTTAGAATGAATGTGTCATTGTACAAATGTTTTCCACCAGAAATTCCACTCGTATGCATTTTAATTTACTTGCTAAGAAGGGCATTGAAACTCATACAATCATTCTTTTATACTTGCAGGTCAGAGGAAGCAATTGGTAGACCAGTGATCATTGAGGTGTGTGATTGTTGGCGTACATATTACGCAATGATGAAAAGTGAATCTGAAGCTAAATGATGAAACAATGAAGGCGAGATGAATGAACAATGGTCCACGCAATGAACATTCAAAAAGACGGGATACTGCAGTTTATAGTATACATGCTCTCTGTTTTATTAATTTTCAGAAAAAAAATGGTGGACTTTGGCTTGTTATCCCCTGTGGACTACAATTGTTTAATAAAAGTATTTCGTAAAGGGGGATGTGAAAATGTAAGTCAAATGTTAACAACTAGGTGGCAAAGAACCGTTCAGAAGAAAGTGTTGAGCATTTTAGAAACAGGTAGCATGCCTCGCTCTGTTGCTATCACTCTACATGATAATGTTCCTCGTGGAGTTTTAAAGCACCTAAAGCTTTGGAACCTCATGGTGAAGGAACTTAGTGTAGTTCATGCCCTGTTAAATGCTAGGGAAGCATTACATTTTGAAATGCGAAGAAGTGAGGCATGCACAACGGCAACTTCAGTGGACAATGTACCAGACATGGACATGACAGACAAAGAAGAGTCATGTGTCATTACAGAAAAGGACCAAGACATACAGGAAGGACACTTTCAAAAAGATTGTGGATGTTCATTACAAGAGGGCAATGATGGAAGGCAATCACGGAAGAACCTCTCTTACGCAATTGAATCTTCCTCTTTGTCAAATCACTTGAAGAATTACTTACTTCTCAATACGTGCATACCCAGGACTGCATTTTCATCTCTCATGTGGGTACTGAGTAAATATCATCCTGTATGTGATTTCCAAACTGTTTGTAAAACAGTTGAGACTATGATGAAAGTGAGTACTTCACTTCATTCTTTTATCAAACTTCTTCAATATGTATATACGTAATCAGTTAAGTTTTGTGAAAGTTAAGCAGTACAGCATAGTGGAATGCTCAAACAATGATTGCTCAACAATTGGAAGATCATTGTGGGATAATCAAATGATAATCACGCGACAATTGGAAGATCATTGTGCAATGATCAATGTTTGCACAATGATGAAACAATAAATACATGACATGATTATTGGTGTATTTGCAGACAATTGTATGTTATATGTGTACTTCATTAGGGGAGTCAGCGCAGTGTCATTAATTTCTATTACTGTTTATGCTCATCTGCATTATAGATACCAACGGATATGTTTGGACCACCAAAAATATATGATGTCTCTTTGCCTAAACTTGTTCCTATACCTGAATTTGCCAGTGACAAGAGAGAAACAAATGGCAATTGGTACCTTCACCATGGAATTAAGGATGCACTCTTGGGAATGTCCCCAGGTGAATGATAATTTCATGAAATTCCTGTGTATGCCTTACAGAAAAATACATTAACAAACATGAACTTGTTCCTTTTGCAGGTCTTGTTGACCATCATAGACACTCCAACTCATTGTGTCTTGCTCATGGTCTGAACCGTTTCATGTTCACAAATGCATTTGCATGTGCATTATGTCCAGAAATGCAAGCTGAACTTTCAAAAATTGCTATCCCAATTAAGAAGGACATGGTTGATGAAACGTGTTTCTGGGTAGACTTCCATATAGACAGCATTCAACTATTTGAGAATTCATCAATGAAATGGGTAATTAATCTTGGCGTCATGTCTAAATGAATATTGAATTGTCAAAAGGGGAAACCAATTTTAATGAGAGTTTACGGAATTGGTACTTCTTCTAATGTACTAACTGTCATTGTTCTGCTACATTGGGACTTGTGGATCATTATTCTCAATGCATTGTGAGGATACGGATCTCTTATCCATCAACTTGCATTGGGGTAAATACCCTAAGATTTGGTTAGTACATTGAAACATGAATACTCATTTAATCATTACAAATGTTTACATTCCAATGTTTTTCTTGTACTTCATGCAGGTACAGCATGGATGCAACAAATGTGGACAGATATGAAGAGACTGTCAAAATTGCTGCAGGAAAAGACTTTCCACAATGCGGCAACCTCCCACGTCACAAGATCTACATGTATGATGAAAAGTGGATGGATCACTACTGTCTGAATGTTTGTGTGGCCATCCAACATCCATATGAGTTCATCATCACCACTAAAAAAGGACCTCATGGGGGCTTCAACACTGGCCTCAACCTGAATGTTGCAGTGAATTATGCTGTGAAATTTTGGGTTGACTATGGACTCTGAGCAAAGTTTTGCTCTTGTGATGGGTGAGTGTACATGCTTTCAAACAAATTACGGATTTAAAATTTAAAAACTCTTCATTATTTTCATGTTTTTCTTCTGCAGGTCTGAGGAGAACAATGTGCATTCCCCATTGGAGCCGTTCATGAGGAACTACTACCCAAAAAGGTACAAGGAGTGGCTGATCAAAAGCCTGAATAAGTTTCCTTCAAATCGACCGGATTTGTCAGGATTTGAGTTGAAAAGGGCATCCCACCTCCAACATCAACTCAGTTGAAGTTGAGCAAGATGTAAGTTCTGCTAAATGCCTTCTGTAAAGATTTTGAAGCAGTTTCTTCTTCATGTTTTTTACAATTTCAGACCAACAACTAAAGAAGAAATATACTGTGAAACTAGAGGTGGAGATGATGAACAGAAGAAGCTGCTGAACATGCTACAGAAGCGGATCAAAATCTTGGAAGACAAACTTGATGATCTCCTGGGAGTTGGGTGAGTGGTGCATGATAGCTTTCCAAATTACGTTTATTATTTATAGTCATTCCTTCAATGTTGTGTGCATTTCAGGAAGAACACTTCATGTTCAGTTAGCAACAAGTACAAGGAACTTGTCATGGAGGAATACAACAAAAGGATGAAGAATCAAGCATCAAGTGAAGAAGAATCAAACATGCTGGCATCTGAACAAGAGGAATTGGAGGATTCCATGGAGATTTCTGATAAGACCCTTCAAGTGGTTTGCATTCTTCTTTTTGATGATGACATCCGCTGCAAGGAAGTTGTGCAGGAGTTCAAGAAGAATGAGAAGAGAAAACTGGAATTAAGTGGGGATGATGTGGTTTCCATGAAGAATGTTTTCAGGAGAAGTGATAGTAGATGAGTTGAAGAAAGAAGAAAAATTCATATGGTTTACTGAAATGTTGAAAATGTCTAACAAATTCTCTTCAAAGAGTTTGAAGTGTATATTCATATGTTATTAAACACACATGTTCTTATTTCATCTTTGAGGACTATACACATTTACAGAAGGAAAAGTGTACAGAAGTGTTTAATAGTAATGGTGAAATAGTGATGTTTTTCATGCAATGATGCCTTCACAGTGTGTGAGAACATTGATAGTCAAGAATTGCATTGCACTGTTTAGTACATTTGAACTTGTGTTTTCCCTGTATTTTCCTGCAGGACATTCATTCACAAAAGTGTATTGATAATGATATTCTTGTGTTCCTCCATTGTTTTTACAGGCATTATTTGAAATACATAATGTTGTCGTGAAAGTTCCAACAAAATGTACACTTTGATATTAGCGCTATCAAAGTTATGGATTGCTTGTTTGTGAATGCAAAATACTACACATGGCAGCAATTCTGGAAGAAGAAATGAGCATTCGACAACAGGAACCAACAAAACTTGCAAAATTTGATGAAATCATGGAAGCTGCTGATCGAATTGTGGAAAAGTACTTCTTTGAAAACAAAGCAAATCAGGCTGCTGGATGTGAAGAGGGTCCATCATCATTCAATGACCTAAAAGCATTTGTGCTTAAAGTTATGGAAAATTACAGTTTGTAAATTTCTTCATACTGATTGAAAAGAGCACTTTATTTTTTATACCTAATAATTATATAATTACTTGATATACCACAGAAATTACTTGGCTGATGGAAGTACCCATCTTGAAAGATGAAGGAGAAGATTTACACTCCAGAAGTGAAGATATGGAAATTGGGCAGAATTCTTCACCTTCAACAAGTTGCAGCCTCCCAACAACACAACATTCCAAATGCAACATGAGCTTTTCTTCAGGTAAGCATATGTTTACATTCTGTATTTGAAGTACCTAATTTCAATGAGATGGTATTTCAAATGTGTTAATGAATCATTATTACCTTTCCTACATGATTCATAATGTAACAATTTGGATACTGAGTTAATTTCTCAAACCAAATGATAGTAAATTATAAAAATGAAACTTCACTGGGAACTATTTGAATATAATATATTGTATTAAAAGGAAAATGGATGGATCCCGGACTGACTAGCAGAATACTTCCAATGAGGGGCTTCAATTATGCTCATGATAAATGTCTATTTTTTTCACAGAATGCCCTTCTCCTGATGTTACGTCTGAAGGACATGACAGCCAGCCTATTGCTCCACAGGAATCCCTTGTGAATCCATCTGATAACTCACCACCAAGAGTGCAGGAACATGTGCTGCCCTCAAATCCTGACTCCAATCAAGAAGCATCAGGTAAAAAATTTCAACAACAATAATATGATGTAATGTTTAGATGTTACTAAAAGTGAATTATGTGAAACTGAAAACTCAACATTCTGTATTCAAACTACTTTATAACAATGAGAAGGTATTTGAAATGTGTTTATGAATCATTGAAACATTTCCCAAACAATTCTTAACCTTACAAATCCAAGACTGACTTAGTTTCTTGAACCTAATGATTGTAACTTATTCGTTTTACACATTCTTACTTTTACTTTTCAACTCCTTCCAGAAGCAGGCAGGGATGAACATGACAAGTCAATATCAGACATTCAAGAACCAAGCAACTTCAAGGTAATGAAGCCAGCACAAAGACTCTTCTTGATTGATGCCAACAACTTTGTTGCTGAAGAAATTGTGCCATTCCTAAATGAACTGGAACAATTGAAAGAATACGCAGTACCTCCTGCTCAACATGCTTGATTGAAGAAATTGAGAAGTTTCATCAACAAACACACTTGTGGAAGTTTTGAGGATATTTTCAAGTACCTGCCCAACAATAGAATCAAGGACTTGGGAATTTTGGAAAAATACCATAAGCAAGGAATACAAAGGGCAAAGAAAATATACCAACAAGTCTATGAGGCCCACCATGCACAAAGCATGGAACTGTACATCAAGCTCTTCAAAGGTGAAGGTGCCAACATTTTCTACCTGGAAGACAATTGGGACATGAATTAAGTCAACTTGGAACAACTCCCCCTCAATGTAACACCAAGTGCTAGCAAGGAAGCATTTGAAGAATTCAAGAGTGGACGCCTGCTGTATGTGTTCCATCTTAAGAAGGAAATGGACAATGTGCTTTGCATCCACACTACTGCTAAGCTTGGGGGACTGAAAGTTCCCATTCTATATGTTGCCCATGGATTGTGTGTTTGTGT